GTGCCAACAATGAATTATGTTTTCATATTTTATTAACAAAGATATTTACATCAGAGAATGTTGACATTGCGTCAGCGAATGAGAATTTCCAGAATTACTGAAGGAGATTTTCTACGCTTCCTAACAAAATCCACATCAAGTTCAGTTATGTAATCATTCGTTTAGGATATTTATCCATTCTTTATCTTCTATATTCAATGCTCTAGTAATACCATACTTCAGCATCTGGGCTGTGGCGTGGGAGCGGAGAACCCAGAGGTAGGAGAATGTACAAACTTTGTCCCGAGATCCTTTTAGTGATGAAAACGTTATACTGATAGATGACTAAGTCGTTTAGTTTTTTATTCAGGTTAGGCCTTTTAGTCTTTTACTAGTGTTAATCGTTTTGATTTTTTACTCCTATACTACTTTTAGTCAGGCCTTTTTCTCCTTTTAATACGTTTAGTTATAAAGTATACAAAGTTCTACCTATTTATAATAAACGGCCACAGAACTAGAACGAGGTAGTTTTTTTAATTTCGTAAGCGCGTAACTGTGCATATGATCGACAAAAACGTCTTCCGGATAGAGCGCGCGCAATTTTTGCAAATTTTGGACTTTTCCTATGTTTAACCATGTCGGACTGCGACTTTTTCACAATTTCTACCAGTGAAAATTAAGCTCACATCGAGCAACATGTCTCTATACCGTACTCGAGCGACTTATGCTTCTAATGCCCCACTTTAGCATCTGGGCTGTGGTGTGGGGTCGGAGAATCGACCCGAATACTACCGTGCCATCGATATTTAACCCAAATGCAGCTACATACATCTGGAGTAGTGGTACACCGGATATTGAATAATCATCCATGTACTGTAACAGATCCTGAGCAGGCAACATTTTCCTCATTACCTCAAGCGCGTTCGTCAGATATCACATAAGGAATTGCAATATATTTTGGAAACCATCGACAAAAGGTTGAGACGAAACCAATATGTTATCACATAAATGATTTCTATATACATATCGCTTATACTTTGATGGCAGTGAAGTAGCAGAAGAGATATGACGCAGATACTGAGAATAAGTGTAATCTGGAGCGTCTAATGAATTCTGATCTTTAAATCGGTTCTAGTGAGAGGATACATTCATATGGTAATGCTGAACTTGAATGTAGGTAGTTTACTAGGGCCCGTCGTTCCAGAGGAACATAAA